CCCCCCCCCCCCGCGGCTATACCATGATACGCGCGAGCGGGTGACTTTTGTCGAAGGGGATATTGAAGAGGGGGAGGAAGGGGGGGAGGGTATGATCTGGATAACTTTGCATAGATTCAGGAATAAGATTGGTCCCTTGAATTTCTACGAAAATCCCTACGTTCAATACCGGATATTTGAATTCATCTTTTCCGGCAATCCTTCGACTGTACGAAACATATCCCTTTCTGGGAGTATTGCCTAAGAAAAGATATGAAGGAAGTAATAGAAGTAGAGACGTGCGGTGAGTAATCTATTGGCTGCGGAGGCATGCATCTTAATCAGAGTCGGAAGAAGACCCGAGAAGCTCTTTAAAGAGGATGAAGGTTCGAGAGTGAAGGAATGGAGAAGATAAGGAAGACCGAGACGAAGGGAGGTCGGGAGAGAGACTCTGTCAATGGATGTCAGACATTGCGTTGTGTACGCACCCTAATATCTTTCTCTCGCTTTCTTATTTTCGGGTTTGCCTCTTTCTCTCGCTCCCTTTGTTCTCCCTCGACTCTCGTCACTCTCTTTAGTCCCGGAACGGACAAAGAGTCGGGCCGAACGCATTTGCGGTATCCCAAAAGGAAGGGGGGATTGGAGGTGGGCAGCCTCCCAGATGAGGTGGGTATTTTCATCAGAGGAGATTGGTTCTCTAGAGTTTCTAGATTACATCCCTGCCGTGGTGCTTTTCTACCGGCAACCCTTCACGGTCCTACCTACTCACCTACTGCCACCCCCTAGACGGCCTCCACTCGTTCACTTGGGGACCTTCACTTCTACCCTTATATCCAGGAAAAACTTACGTACCTAGAGAGAGAGAGAGAGAGAGAGAGAGGGAAACTCTACGGGACGTTCATGCGCGTACACACGTGTGCATGTATGTATATATATATATATATATTTGGGGGGTGATATCGGGTACCCCTAGGTTCTCCGAGTATGTCTTCCGAAAAAAAGCCCTTACAGTAGGGGACGTAATGAAAACGATACCCACCCCGAGCTACCCTTGTGGTTAGGACCAATAGCCCTTATGGTTTCTAGAATGTTAGGCTGTGATGAAGAGAAGAAAAAAATATGTAGGAATCATCAAGGATTTGTTTCCGGTCCGTCGGTCGGTGGCAGAATGGAAAAGTAAAATTTGTGAAAGTAACGTAAAAATGGCTCGTTTCCGAGAAATTAAAAAAAAAATAGGAAATATACTTGAGGTAATAGGTGGAAGATGGTGAAAGATGGCAGCAGCTTCGCCTCCGGAAGAATGGAGGTCTGCCCTCGTTAAGGAAATAATCCGCGGCTTAATTAAATACAGTGTAATTAGTTCCGAGTCTCTGTGCCCGATGCCCGACGCTGAAAGAACGTTCGGCGTCGCGACGCCATTGCGGACCGTGGAAGGGGGAGGAAGGGAAGCAGAGAGAAAGAATAAGAAAGAAATAAAAGCACAAAGTAACAAGTAAGAGATTAGAGCTGGAATTAGAATTTCAAAAAGACCAACTGGGGTTGGTCCGCCTATCGGTGGCTTAATTCAGTGGTCTCCTACGAAATCCACCATAGGCAGCTCTACCTGCACTCTCGCTCCCTCTCTGACTTCCGTCTAATTAGTCGGATTCGAATTAGCCGGAGTTTCCGATACTCTTTTGCGACGAGTGTCGAAACGCCCCGCGAACGGGTTTAACCCCTTGGTGATTAAGATGGCGACACGTTCTTCCCTGGATTTACCACTTCCTCGATCTTTTTCAAATGTCCCGCCATTATTCTTCTCCCTTTCGTTCGTATCCGTTCTGCTTGGTCTTTCTCTTAGTGGCTGCATCCAAGCCTACCTAGGTCGAGAAGAATCGTGGGACGCGTATTAACTAGGGGTTGTCAACCCTTTATCGTGAGCTTCCATCTCCATGGAACCAACAAAGAGAGAGAGAGAGAGAGAGAGAGAGAGAGAGAGAGAGAGAGAGAGAGAGAGAGAGAGAGAGAGTGTGTACATACGCATGGGGCACGTATATAGCGAAGAGAGTAGAGAAGAGTGGACGGACGTAAAAGGTCCGCGGGGTTAGGAATTGTACAGGAGCTGTATGGGGTGACCCAAGTAAAAAGCCGTGCTCTGATTGGTCAACAAACCGTACCCAGGATCCCCTTGGCATCGCGGTCGACTCGTCACGTGGGCAAGCGACTGTGAACCCGACAAGTTTTGTCCGTCGACGTCTGCCGTCGCGACGCCCTAGAACACGCCAATTCTAAAACAGTGTCGGGCCGTTTGCAACCAGGTAAGTAGCAAACTGGTCGTGAGAGAGGTAGCAACATACAGAGAGAGAGAGAGAGAGAGAGAGAGAGAGAGAGGCAGGTAGGGGGGCAAAGGAATGCCGCAAGAGCAGGAGAAGAAAAAAAAAAGAAAGATAATGGGAGAAAATCGGAAATAGAGCATGACAGGAGTGGACGAGTGGATAGACTGAAGTGAAGTACGAGAGCGAGTAGCTGTAAAAATAAGAAGAAAAAAGGAGAATGGAAATAAAAGAAAGAAAAAAGAAAGGAATCGAAGGAAATAGGAGAGCAGGCGAGTATAAGAAAAACGCTTGGAAGAATCGTATGAATTTATGAGGACATAAATTCGAAGGGCTTGTTTCAGAGGCTGTGATTTCCCGCGATCCTCCATCTCCCAGGATCTCGGTACTCGTAGTCCTGCCACCCAGGTTCACGATCTCCAGCTCCTCCCGCGTCTCCTCCGTCCGGCTAACGTGCAAAACAGCCACTATACAATTTGCACTTTCGCAGAGTGTCACCCTTTCGCCAGGACGCATAAAGGACTTCTGCCAGCTCGACCTCGTATCCTCCACGTGTCTTCGAGTACCCAGCATCCCTTTGCAGCCAAGATGCCCGAGTAACGAGGATCGCGTGTACTCGTGGTCCAGCCAAGGGGCTGTTCGACCGCTGACCTTACCCTCCTTCCTTTAGTCCCCCTTATATACTTCCTTACTCGCCTTCTTTCTCTCCCCGGGGAATGTGGAACCCGATGATCCTGGCAATGGTCCAGGACACCCCTTCCGCCCTGGCAGAGACGAGTAACGATCCTCCGTGAAAGGATGACCGCTATGGAGAGTATCACTCTTCCAGTCTTATGTACCAACCGAACTTCCGACAGATCGCAAGGATCGTTATCCTTGCGAAGTTCACCAGTGCCAACTGAGAAATCCAATTGAAGGATCCCTTCGTACGATTCGCGCGGTCTGCGCTCTAGCCTGTATATTCCGTAGTGGACCTGAGCGAGTTAGTAAATTCCTACGGGAAAACGCAAAAAGCCAAATCATATTAAAGTCCCTGAGGTAAGGGTAGGTTTAAAGGTAGACAGTAGAAAACGCTAAGCGAAACGTCAAACTTTGAAAAAGCCAAGAACGTCAGGTGGTCCATCAAGATTTCTACTTTGGGATGAAGTACGTAGGAGTAAGAACGCTTAATAATCAGGGAAAGGATCATCCTAGGGTCTAGGGAACTTTTGGGTCCCGTCAGATCCTTCAGCCGATCCCTGAGACGCTTTACGTTTCTCCAGTTTCACCGCAGGGGACAGTTTCCCCAGTTACAACTATTCCAGGACTTTTTCACCTCGAGGGACATCAAGTTCGTTTCCCATCTTCTGGAAATCCATCTCTCAGACGTTTTCAGATGTCAGTCGTTGTCCTTCAAGAATTTTACAGGGGTGTATCTAAGTGAACATCCTCAAGGTATCCAAACTGGACCGAAGTAACCTTCAACCGGGTAGATCGACCCAATTGCATCCGCAGAACATTCGTCATTGATACAAAACCAGCTGGTATGCACTTTACTGAGTGCACCAAGTCCCTTATGTACCCAAGAGGCAAAAACTGATCCTAAATCCAAAGTAAGTCTCAGGACGGCCATTTCCCGCAGGAGCAGCATCTTCACGCAGACCGCATTCTGCGGCTTTGGGTTAGATGAACTATGTATCCGGGTACGGGAGCGAAGTCGCCCAAGTGTCTCGCAATGATAAAAAACTCCACCGCTAACCACTTGAATTATTCCATGTTCCTTTGCAAAACGTGCCAAACCGTA